CCCTTGCTCCTAGTAGCGATGCCAGGAGCCCCTAGTAGCTTCTTGTTTGGGGCCTTGGGTTCCCACAAAAGCCACAGCTCAAATCCTTCGGCTTTCGGTCCTGCGGCTCGGTTGCTCGGCTAAACATGTGAACAGTTGATCAAACAGGAAAACACACGGTGTGCAGCTTCAGCATGGTGGCAGTGTGTTGACAAGAGCTTCGCCGCAGGAAAGGCGATGTCCATGCTGACCATCAGCATTTTGGCCCAGGTCTCTCCGAAGCCATGACCAGTCTGAATGACCCCTGAGAAACGATAAGAAAGTCTTTTTCACATTCGATCCAATTTTCCTCAAGAACTAGAAGAAGAGCCTGGTTGATCAAAAATAAACGACTACGTATAATATAGTCGTAACAAATTGCTTGTTGGGCTCAAGATTCTGGAGATCTGCTGAAACTTTTCTGCATTTGAAAGATTTGGATTTTGCAAAGTCGGCCAAATCTCCATGGCGATGTCAAGGAGGCGTTGCGTTCGTCGAGCCACGTTGATCACCAGGTTCTCGTCGTTATCTTCCAACAAACGCTCAGGGATTGACAGAAAGGCTCCCGTCTGTAGCGGCAAATGCGTTTCTCGTCGATACTTCATCCTCCCCAGCATGCGACACAACATATAAAGTTTTAGGGGCCTGCAAACAACTCTTTGGTCACTAGCAGGAATACCAAAAAAAGTCAAAGAGTCTACTACACAGTCTATAGTGAACAAGACCGGCCCCCCAGCACCATGCAAGTGAGTGACATGGACTGGGTGATTGGACCATCGTCATCAAAGTACTTCTTGGGATCATGCCAGAAATCCGCGGTAAGCAGGTATGGAAGCTGCGCATGAGAAAAGACTTGCCTCTGGCAATGCGCCCTGAAGATGAAGATGGCCAAATACCGCTGAAAGTCGCTCCAATTGAGATCTGTGTTATGATGGATGCTTTGCACCAAGAAAAGCTCGTGCGGTGCTAACACCGTGTGAAATGGCACCCACTTCTCCCTCTTTCCAATGTTCGGGGCAACCCATTGCTCGAAGAGCGGCCATAGGCATTTGGCGTCGGGATCCTCCAATTGCACGTCCTTTTCACCCAAGCAAAGCTTAGCCTCCAGGCGAACTTGGCACTGCAGGAACTGGAAGAATTCAGCCAAGGCAAATATATCCACATCATCGCATGGGTCGGAAGGGCTCCCAGCAACACGTCCCATGGCTCCAAGCGCAACACAAACGACAGACCCACCGGCGCGTGCAGACAGTTAGTAATGTGATGAGAACAGTCTTCCAACCAACGACATCTGAAAGGGAGCTACTAGTAGCTTCTTGTTACTAGTAGTACGGCCAGGAGCCCTTAGTAGCGTCCTTGCTCCTAGTAGCGATGCCAGGAACCCCTAGTAGCTTCTTGCTACTAGCACAAGGAACCAAATAGCGATGGCCCCCACCCTGCTAGCGAGCGTGCAGTCAGTTATTTAAATGTTGATTAGTCCCGTGACGTGTTCATGGATCAACATGGATCAACTAGCTACCGTGAATGCTGCGCTTGCTCCCTCTTGTTCCAGTAAACAGACAGGAAACCATAATAACGTATGTAGACAGTACCCACCCGCTGGCGTCGAACGCTTTCCGATTCTGCTGTTGTTTTGAAGTTCTTTCCGTGTTTTTCCGTTCTGGATTCGGATGCAATGTAACAAGAAGCTACTAGGAACAAGTGCCTTACTAGTAGTAACAAGTGCCTTACTAGTAGTAACAAGAAGCTACTAGGAACAACTTTCCGCTTCCAGCAGGAGGAAGCGCGAGCCACGAAGAACGAGTGTCGACGAGTGTCGAGCAGTGTCGGAGCGTCCGGGCCCCAGACGACTCCGGACGACGACCATGCACAAGTGAACAAGAAGCTACTAGGGGCTCATGGCCTTACTACTAGGAACAAGGACGCTACTAGGAACAAGTGCATCGCTTCTAGTAACAAGTGCCTTACTAGTAGTAACAAGGACGCTACTAGGGGCTCTTGGCCGTACTACTAGGAACAAGAAACTACTAGTTCCGATCTACAATAGGTCTTCTTTAGGCCTAACGGTCTGAAGTGTGAAGGAGCCGAACGGTGCACATCCCAACGTGCCGAAATCCAACTAGGAGACGCTACGAACGGAGCAAAGGGCATCGTTACTAGGAACAAGAAGCTACTAGGGGCTCCTTGCCGTACTCATAGGCGCTACTAGTAGCAAGAATGCTATAGGAGCAAAACACACATTCCCAAGCATGTTTTTGAGAGCCAGGCGGACAATGCACAATGGAAGTGGTTTTTGAGAAACGCTCACGTGCTGAGTTCTCACCTGAAAGCGCCATTTCCGCAACTAACCCCATGCTCCTTGTCAAACCAGGCCAAGTGGCTGGGCTCAAGGCCTCTGCCGCCGCTTGGCGAAGCTCAAATGGAGCATTTGGCCTCAAGGAAGCTTCATGAATTGTCAATGGCGCTGGCGCTACACATTCTGCACTTTATGGGCCGGTTCTCCTGCAGCTTTGCAAAATACACTCTTGTTAGGAACAGCACTCTTGCAATCAGTAGGACTGAGACGGTAAGTCTTTGTTTTTAACATTTTTGTGTGTGTCACTGTGTGTCACCTTTCTGACAACTAATGAATATTCAACCTGGACCTTGATCGATCCTGATTCTTGTGCGGATGACCTGTGCAGCAAAATAGCATAGCTTTAAGCATCTCTCCGTGTGCATGTGGTCATGCCTTTCTTGATTTCCAAGCGGCCCACAGGTCTTCTCACAGTACTGGCCCAGGCGTGAAGGCACAGTTTCGCCCCCTGAGAACGAGAAAAACTAAAACAAACGGCACGCCAATAGCCTTCCTAACTTAACAGTAGCAATGGCCTCCAACCTACTAGCGATGGCCTCCCACGTAATAGCAATGGCCTCCCAACTAGTAGCGGTGGCCTCCAACCCCATAGCGGTGGCCATCGCTAGTCGGTGGGAGGCCATTGCTAGTAGGTTGAAGGCCATCGTTATTAGGTTGGATGCCATGGCTTTTAGAACCAAAGAGAAGAGAACAGGAAGAAGAAGGTGTTCGACTCTCTGGACCTTTGGACCTCTTCTACTACCTCTTCTTTAGGTTTTCTATGTCAAGCGACCGCGAGTCTAAGGCAACCACCGAGTAACCATGACCTGAAGCGGGCGGTTATTGCCTTCATGTTCTGTTATCGCGTTCTTGTCTTTTCTTGTTCCTAGTAGCTTCTTGTTCCTAGTAGTAAGGCCAGGAGCCCC